GTGGATGAATTGGATTCCAAGCTCTTCACAACTGAAGCCCGTTTACTGGTGCGAGACACACTCACTGTCTCTTCTCTATACTCTTCTTTATATAAATAATAATCTTAGAATAATAATCTTAGCAAAGCTGGAAAGGACCCTATGGACCATCAAATTCAGTCCATGTCAAGGAGACACAGTGTGGAATCAAACTCTCAGTCTCCAGCTCTGCATAAGAAGGTTAGTGACTTGCCTCTTTGTATTAGTACAAGGATAAACGTGGACTAAGCAATACAATTCCAAATCCACAATTTCATTGTGGTTTAACCAAGGACTGACGTGCAAGAAGGGGAAGGAGTTGGAGTATTGTGAAGATGACACATCCTGCTCTTTCGTTCTACAGGAAAGTAGTATGTATGCCAAGGATGAGAGCACTGTTAGCAGACAAATAAAGGTACACAGCAAGAGAATTGTCAGCTGGAATCTCTGGGGATCTGATTAAGAGTACTGAATCTGCCACCTGATAAGAATACACACTGTTTGCCCCAGCTTTGTTTCCACTGATATAGAGTATCTGTACAAAAAGCAAATATTATAAACTATCTAGGTTTCACTGGTACTCTTACCCTCCAAAATAATAGTATAACCTGTGTGATTATAGCTCCTGGCTAAATTGTAACAGGGAAAAAGCAGCTTGGAAAGTTACTTTCACATGATTAGTTGCAATTACACTAAGAGGGTGAGAACACCTCCCTATGTTCTTACAGCAAACAGTTTTATTTGTTGCACTTTTTGCTGCAGATACTTCCAATATTGGCTTAAACAGCACCCTGGGTGAGGAGTGATTTTGTTAAGAAGTGCTTCCCCCACACTTTGCATAAACCTTAGAGGGTTTATGAAGCCTGTGGCAGGTGTTACAGTATGTTGAGGGATCTGGTGCTGCCTTCTACAAGGAACAATGCATGCATGTACAAAGTTGGGAACCACGTGGAAGAATTATTGCATGCATGGGCCACATGTGAGAATGTTCACCTGTGACTCCTCCTTCCCTTGGATCAAGCATAATCGACATGGTTCATTTTTTTTATATACGGGGATAAGGGAATAGGAATTAGACTGTGCTTCTCTTGAGTACCTCCTCTATTTCGTCTTTCCGTACTTTGGACTCAGTATCCCAGGTCTGGTTGTGACGTGCTGCTGGCTTTCTTCACTAATTTCTCAGAAGGATTCCTTCCTTAAGGCATGGGCTTGTGATAGCTACCACTCAGAATTGCTCTCCCGTGGCATCTTGCCTGTAAATCTTAGGAGGTGTTGAGTCATTCAGTGACTGAACTCTTCCCTCATTGTACTCAAAGTTCTTTCTGTGTCAGGAACAGAGCACCTGCTGTGGTACAGAAGTTCTCTTTAAAGTCTTCCCTATTCTGTCTCTCCTTCCAACAAACTCTGTGGCTATTTGACCTGACCCAGTCCTCAGCCTGCATGACTATATACCTCTGTTTTTACCGAGACATGTAGATTTCACCTAATTGTGATGGATTATAACACCTCTCTTCCAGCACCCCAAGGGTACATTTTATATCAAACTTGACAGAAGCAGGGGAAAAATCATTTAACCTTTTTTTGCCAGACTGAATGTATACCTATGTTTTAAAACAATCACTTAGGCCTCAAACTAACAATCTTCCTGCTTTACATGCACTGTATTAAACATATATTTTCACCATAGCCAGGAAGAAATGTCATGTCACATTGGATGTTCAAATTCAGTATCATCTTATAATCTAACATACCATTTTTTTTGTATGACTGCTTTAAACAAAATACCAGGAGTTCTAGTGAGCAATATGCAAAGGCACAGAGGAACCACTTAATTATCAGTGTTTTCTTTTAACATGTTTTGTACCAATTCCTATATTTTGGTAACTCGCTGTACAATCAACAAAACAGTACAAAACAGAGCCACTGCGCTCAGCTTAGCTTGGAGCCTCACAGCTCAGTTTTGTCCCCCCGCCCCCTGCTTAGCTAGATGGGCAACACCCAATTCCCCCATCACTAACACCAGCTGTGGTGACAATTTCATGAGAAAAGTAGCTGTGAAGTGTTACAGAAATCAGATGAGGCAAAGCCGAAAGGCTTGTCTTCAAAGAGATAGGCAATGCCGTCCAACAGGCCTAGCTGTAATGTCAATTCCTGTATCAGATACACCAGAAACATCTGAATGACGATCTCATCACCCATTGGATTAGGGTCCTCCCTTCCCCCATCCCACTTTTTCATGATCCTCTATGTTGTTTCTCCTAAAACGGGAAGATGACCATCTATGTCTAATGGTGAGGCTTTGCCTATGGAAAGTGAAAGGATATCTCCAAAACACTACCCAATTAAACTTCTGTTGATTGTTGCATCATCAAAAATTAACTTCCTGTCCTTCTAATGTGACAGTTACTATATTGTCATGTATTAATGATCACTGTTTCACAAGATACTTTTGTGTTCTGATTGGTACAAGACTGTGATCCAAGTAATTGTTGGCTTTCATGCTTTCAAATTGTTGGCTTTTATGTTTCCAGTGTTCCTTTCTCACCACCCTGTGGTGCAACGTGCTATCTTATGTACTTTTACTAAGACCTAAATGGCGCTGAATTACATCCAAGCACACAAAGTACACAAAACTGGGCTGTACATTTTTGTAACATTATCTTTGCTTAGGTTTGGAGCTGTACTTCAAAACACTGCAGCCAACATCCAATTGTTAGTCTCAACTAAAAGAGCAACATTGAATCATTTATTTAGTCCCAAATAAAAGAGCAACACTGAATAAATAAATTTATTTTTATTGTATTACATGTTGTGTTTTATATACCACCTTTTTCCCTATAAAAGGGATTCAAGGCAGTTTACAAAATTTAAAAACAAGCTTAAAGAATAATATAAGGGTAAAGGTAAAGCTTCCCCTTGACATTTTTTTAGTCCAGTCATGCCATTTTTCAAGCCGTAGAGCCAGTGCTTGTCCGAAGACAGTTTCCATTTTCACATGGCCAGTGTGACTAGGGAGTGCCGTTTTACCTTCCCACCGAGGTGGTACCTATTTATCTACTCCCATTTGCATGCTTTCGAACTGCTAGGTTGGTGAGGAGCTGGGACAAAGCGACGGGATTCGAGCTTACGACTGCTGGTCTTCTGACCCTGCAGCACAGGCTTCTGCGGTTTAGCCCACAGCACCACCACGTCCCTCTATAATTTTCAATAAATGCATCATTAAAATGATAAAACAAGAAAGAATTTAAACCTAGAAAAACATTAGTACAGCAATGTATGAAGATATGGGACTATGAGACTATGATATGGAGCCCTGCTAATCTTAGCTTTTGTAAAGGCTCATATGGGCAGATAACAGTCTTGCATTTATGTACATTGATTCAATGGCTCTGCTCTACCTGGACCTCACAATTGGATTCAGGCCATGTTGGCAAAGAATAAATCCACTGAACTCCCAAGTGTTCAGGAGCAGCCAGGATGCTCAGGTTTGCATTGTACAATTATAATATACTCTAGGCTGGAACTACATGGTCAGATACTGTGAGGTTTGTTCTGCTTATAACACAGGTGAATTTGAAGTATTTTGTACTGGCCACATAGCACAAAGGCTGATTCAAATTGGCCTAATCCCTTTTGCTTCCAAAGCAGCTTTTCTGACTCTGCCACTGGAGGCTTTGACTTTTTCCTGCTGGAACAATTTGAATGGACTTCCCCCTGTGTAGTTAGTTCTGATACATTTTTGTAAAAATATGGTGGGTGGCCATAGATGGGATTTTGGTGGCATAGGCAGTTGGACTGTGATATTCAGGACTGGGGAAACACCCTCTCCATTTCCTTCTTTCCTCTTTCTCATCGTCCTCTGAATTTTTATTTTTTAAAACATTCTTACATATATGAAACTAGTGTTAGATTAACTGTCACTTCATTGTTGTGTTCTTGTTATTATCATTTCCCTTTCAAAACCAAGTTGAATTACATTAAACATAACAATCGCAGAGGCAAGACCAGAGGAAGGAAGGATCAGCAGAGGAAAACATAAACAATCGTAGAGGCAAGACCAGAGGAAGGAAGGAAGGATCAGCAGAGGTGGAATCAGAGGAAGGACAGGAAGGGAAGCTGTGGGCTGGAATGTGAATTGCATCACATCCAATATGAACACTGGACTCTTAGATCAATTGGTAGTCCCCTGGGAGCACTGACTGCTGTTTCACACAAAACACAGCCCTGTGAATCAAATTGCAGCACCTATTCTGCTCACTTTCTTCCATTTCAACTTCTCTCTTTCTGAACATGCTACTTGAAAAACAGCATGGCGGTTTGCTCACTACTCAACCGCCGGAGTAGACATGGTCTAGAGGGGCGGGNTTTTAAAGCAGAACCCAACAGAGATTGCTCACTGTGATCGCTGGCATCACCCTGAAAAAGTTACTCTAAGCTGAGCCATTGGGCCGTGCCTGTTGGGGGATGCTTGGCATCCTAGTCTGAAACTGTAGCTGTTCCAAGATGTGTCCTGCTTTTCTGACCCTCATTCCTCTACCAGGTGAAACCACACTACACCCTGGGGTTCAGGGACTATAAATTTATGGGCAATGTAGCTTCGGGTATGCAAGCTTTTCCGCTGGGGAGGTTTCTTCGACCCATCCGGTGCCCAGAACAGAACGAGTATAGCCAGTCCGTGATGGCGCGTTGTCCTCTTGTTAAGTGCGCTCTCTCTCTCTCTCGCTCTCTCTCTCTCTCTCTCTCTCTCTCTGTGTGTGTGTGTGTGTGTGTCCTGGCCTGCCCCACTCACAGTGTAAACTCTTTTGCAGCTCGCCTCTGTTGCGCCTGCTGTTCTGTTGATGACCAAGTGAAGCAACCGCTTGGCTCCGCGATCGTTTACACTCGCGCCACACAGTCTTACTATTACTTCTCGTTCTTTCCAAACTCCCCATTCCTTCCTTCCTTCCTCCCTCCGTCCCCTCCCTCCGTCCCCTCCCCGGTTCCCTAAACGCCTCCTTCAAGAACTGCAGCTGGGCACGGCTCCAAAAGCGAGTCGCCGCCGCCGCCGCCGCAGCAACAACCAGGAGGCAGGAGTTCAAAGTTAGCAACGGGTTACACAACTTGGGCGCTGAGTGACTGACTCTTCCCGAGCCCAAGTGGCCGCCGAGGGAGGGAAGCTTTCGCAGCCCGCCTTGGTTTGGGCTCCCTCGTCCTTTGATGTTGTTGCCGTCCTGCCGCCTTGGGAACTTACCATGGCTCCCTTTGGACGGAATCTCTTGAAGACCCGGCACAAAAATAGGTAAAAAAAAAGGGGGGGGCGCAAAGAGAAGCCCGAGCTGTTTGCCTCGTCTCGTTTCGAACTAGTGACGCTTGGAAACGGGGGAGTACCTGTTGCATCGGGGACGCTCTTGCGACACAGGCGCCCGAGCCTGCGACGGAGGCATCATCCGCCGTTTCACTTACGCGTCAAGCTGAACTCTGGAAAAAGTTACCCGTGAAAGGATCGGGAGGTGGGGCGGGGGAGGCTGCGTGGTTTTCTTTTCCCTTTACCTGCCCCCGAGAAGTTTGGGATCTGGCAGTCAGTCGGAAGAAAACTTCCTTTTTTCTTTCTCCCTCTCCCCGTGGTGGAAAAAAGAAAAGGGGGGGGGGCGCTGCCCTCGGGTTTTATAGCGGGTTCCCCATTATTGATCTTTACGGGTGGGAGCGCACGAGGGGGATCCAGGCATGCTTTCAAAAGGTAAATAAGTTGAATGTGTGAGAGAATGTCCGAATCATGCCCGTCGTGGGTGGGGGGGAGAGGATGACAACATCCTGGGTAGGACAGAGGAGGAGGAATACATGTTACAGCGCCCCTCATCCGAAAGGGAAAGTAAGGGATTTTTTTTCCTGCGGACTGATTGTCCAGCGACAAACAGCGGGACGCTCGTTAATTGCGGGCACAAATGAGCTGAGACTTGAGGATCCTCGGCTCGCTGGGGTTGGGCTCCTTCCGCACTTAACTTGCTCCGAAAGTTTCCAGTCCCTGGGGTCAGTTCTCGCTGCCTTCCCCATTCACTGTAAGTTTGTTACACCAAGGAGAAACGTGTGTGTGTGTGTGTGTTGCGGGGGTGGCTTTGAGAAAACTTGGACTGAGTGCAAAGCTTTGCTGTTGTTAAGTTGTAAACGCGCTTCATTTTCTTGCGCTTAGGAGGTAAGGGGGGCAAAAAGAGTTTTGAAAGTTTTCGCGAGTTCCCCCTCCCCCACTTTTCAGTAGCCACCTCTCCCACTTAATTATACTTGCTTCTCCCTGAGTTTTGCTGATATTATGAGGAGAAAATTGCATGCCTCAGAATTGTGTAATTATTTTTAAATCCTTTACACCTTAAGTGCAAGTTTCCTCAGAGGGAAGCTGATGGTTTACAGGCGCTTTAGAAATTACAGTGGCTGGACAAGTCTTTAGAGGTTGGTATGAGCAGCTAATGTGACACCTTCCATCTCAGTATTGAGAACAGTGGTGTCTAGTAGCCTCTTTATTTTGAGTTCTGATCTGAGCATTGTTTGGCCACTGGACTTTGACCAAAAAAAAAAAAAAAGCTGTTTTGTTATTCTTCAAAAATGTATATTGTTCCTTATCCCATATTTCTTTACTGGATTATTCCCTTTGAATGTGTGTGCTTTGACTTCTATTCAGAGCTGTATTTACATTCTTGAACGATAAGGCCATTAATCTCCAACAAGGACCAAATTAAAAAATAAAACAATATCAGTCCTTATCATTAACAATAGTGTAGTTACATGCCAATAGAATGAGTCTTTGGCTGTTCTTTGGTCGCTGAAGTCCAAATAATTTTTTTCTTTACAAGTCTCTCTCTCTCTTTCTCTGTTAGAAAATGACTGTTTTTAAGTAGCAGACTTATGTACACTTATTTAGACATGCCCCAATGAGCACAGTGGAACTTGCTTCTGAGGAAACCTACAAATGCAGCAGATTCCAAAGGTCTACTGTTGGATACATTTATGAAGAACGCATAAATTAAAAAAAGCAGAAAAGTCATAGCCATGTAACAAATTTCTGCTGTGATTACATATATGGCTTCAAATGTTGTGCAGGGGGAGGGAGATTATACCCTTTGATTTCCAGAAGTCCATCGCAAATACCTTCACAGTTTGGTTTGCTCCATCTGGTTTAATGGAATAAACAGGGGAGCACAAGTCCTGGCACAATAGCAGAACACAAACAAAGACATCCTTCATTGCATTATTCTATTCAAACCAGAGGACCAGTTGTGCATGGTTTGCTCCTGGTGGAGATTAGTGTCTGATCATTCAAAGTCTGCCAACAGAGATGGCAAATGAACACTGTAAATCAGAAATGATGCAATAAGATCAGTGGCATTGTCTTGTACTTTCTCAATCACCAGACAAGACTGAATCTGGCTATAAGCAGGGTCTGTCTATCATGTGGAAGAAACCTATTGAGTTTCAAGCACCAGCCTGGGAAATTGACTTTTTGACTTTGAGCACGAATTGAGCCTGCTGGTTCTTAGCACACTCAAGTCCTCATACGTATTAATTTGTAATCAACAGCACTGTTGTGAGGTGTGTTCCTAAGCAGGGAGGGTCTAAGAACCCCAACAGAAGTGAACAAGAATGTTTTAAGTGCTGAACAGTTGACCAATAAATTGAAACAATGATGCATTGAGAGTCTCATTTATATTTGGCTCCTATTGTCCAGTCATCCTACTGTGATGTGCTAGCATAGAATTCCCTTTCATTTGAATTTCATGATGCAGGCATCTTTGCACACCCGTAGGTTTCAGTAAACAATGTGAGATTTGTGTTCAAACAGACATATTAGGTTCTTTGTTTTTGGATGCAGCTGATGAAAACAGGCCAAAAATATCCCTTTACTTAGTTTCCAAGTTCAATAAGCATCTTTATGACTCTTGGCATCTTATAAGCAAAATATGAAAGCCACAGCTCTTTTGTAGTCCTTCAGCATCTAGTGTTGAGAAATATACTCTTTGTAGTCATTGAAGTGCAACTTATTTATCACACCTAAGGCAAATGGTGATTTGTAAGTGTAAGGTATATTCAGATAGGACTGGAACTGAGTGCGAGTCTCATACTTAGTCACAAAAATCACCCCACCCCCTGCGTAATCTGTAGAATTTGTAGAGCATCAGTTATGTTGCAGTATTGACAAGTTTCTACAACACAACTAAAGAATCCATGGAGTGTTTTGGAAACTTATGAAGCCTGGCTTGCTATGATAGTAGCAATCTGTGATGTGCTGAACTATCAACTGGTTTTCATATGCTGAAAACAGTGATTATAGAGAAGACATTATTATTCTGGCTTGGTTTACCTGTGGATGTCTTGGGACGATGTGAAGACCCAATAATGGGTGCTCTTTTTGTCGCTTTTGTTACAGTGTGATAAGTTGCAGGAAAACTAACAAAGAATTTGTGGCACCTTGAAGATAACTTTTATTTCAGAGTTTATTAGGTGAAATATTTTGTGAACTGTAGCCCAAATTCTCTGATGTGTGAGACAGTAGTTGAAGGGGACTACCTCTCTGGAAATGAATGTGATCAAGGACACTTTGCCATTGCATCAGCCTCTCTCTCTCTCTTTCTCTTTCTCTCTCCAAAAGCATTGACTGTGGACAACTTGATTGATCAATTTTGGTTTATCTGCTTCAGTATATTCCCTACCCTGAAGGTGCTGCTTGTCACAAATACTTAACGTGCCATAATTTGGATGTTTGTAGGCTGCTGTTTCTTCTTGTATGGACTAATCTGTTAGGAATTTTTCAGCTGTGGAGGAGGGTACATTATTGGTGTGTGTGTGTGTGTGTGTGTGTGTGTGTGTGTGTGTGTGTGTGTGTGTGTGTGTCTTAATGTTAGGAAATTAATAATAAATAATAATCATGTGCCAGCAAGTCAACTCTGACTTATGGTGACCATTTTCAGGGTTTTCTGCATGAAGAATGCACCCTTCTTCTGGAGGTGCCATGGGACTGTGCAGCTTGCCTGAGGCCACACAGACTGGCTCTACTTGCAGAAAACACAGTGAGGGATTGAACTCTCAGCCATTGGCTTTTTAGCCATATACCTAAACCACTGAGATACCCAGCCAGCTCTAGGAAATTATTTTCATCTATTTTAGTCCTACAGTTTAAAGGTTTCGTTCAGACACTCTTGTTTGCAGGAGGTAAAACAGATACAGAAGAGGAAATATATAGCAAATATATAGTAACCCTTTAATAACAAACAAAGTTGAAATCCAGAACAGAAATACTTTATGCTGCAACATTTTGTTGACTAAATGCCTCAATCCAGTAATGTTCTTGCCTGGAGGCGTAGTACAGTAAATGATTCACAAAGAGTGCAGCACAGAGTACTTCTGCCTGTATATCCAGGTAAGTGATGTATGTATGTGAAACATTTCTTGGAGATGGGCGAGTGAAAAAAACACTACCTTAGTGAGGTAAGGAAGGGAGCAGATTTCACTCCTCTCCTCTACACATTTGGTTTGATGCAGAAAGTAGACCACATAGTCACTTCAGGACCAGAAGGGGCTAGTCCACTGATGAAGGATGTCCATGTTGGTTTGGGCCCTGGGTTAAGTCTGGCATACTTCTGAAGAAGCATGCATAGATACAGCTGCTGCTTGGCAAATAGTTTTTAGTAATCTCTAGGTATGTAGTAATGTAAACCCCAGGAAAAAAAAATCCTGTGTGGCTAGGCAGAAATATCTTTTCTCTTAACAGTTAATTATCTACTACCTACTTTAGAAAGGTAATTAACCATTTCATTCCAGCAGAGTAAATTACATGATAAATGGACTTGTGTGTAATGCTGCAGAATTCAGAGAAAAGAGAAGAGTTTTCTTCAGTAAAAGTTAATCTGGCATTTAAAGAGCTGTCGTGTACATCAAAATCACTGACTTTACCTTGCTGCCTATGGGTATAGGTTTGCAGCCTTACCCATAAATAAGTCACTTCAGCTCAATGAGCCATATTTGCCTATATTTGTGTTTTGCATTTCTGTTCCAATGAATATTATTTCATTTTGGAATCTGCAAGACACGGAAGAAGGTCTGGAATTGCTCCTACACTTCTCAAGTACTGGCTAGATTCCTGTTACACCTTTGCACTGGCACAACCTCATTGCCACCAATTAAGAAGTCAGAGTAGGTGTTTATTCTTGCCTACCAAGCCATGTGACTTGGTGTGCAAGAGCGGAGGCCCACAAAGACTTTAACCTGCACCAGTTTGCTGCTGAGATTTGTGCCAGCAAAGTTGTGCTACTGTAA